ATATCAAAGGAGAACATAACAAACTAAATAATCTTTTTTTATTTATTTTTGTTTTTAACTAAAAAAACAATCATATCATATTTCTTTTTATTTCTAGTTGCCTTCTCACCTTAGATAAAATGCATGCAGCAAAAAGAGAAATTTGTCATTACGTGACAGAAAAAAGATTACATAGAGTCATAATTGTGTGCATCCTTCGGTCAAATTCATCAGTACACACTGATCAATTACCATCACTAGTAAAAAAAGCCTTTTTTAACGCGCTATATACACCTCGGTTTTACTGAAACTGAAGCATATAAAAACGCGGTGGTATTTTCGTAAATATTGAGTGGTTATATGCCTCGGTTATATATTAACCGATGCCTATAAACTCTACTGTTTCGAGTAGAAGGCGAACCGAGACATATAATATAAACTGAAAGGGTTTAGGCACCGGTTTAAATTTGACCGAGGTAATACCTTGAAATTTGGCACCGATTTAAATTTGACCGAGGTAATACCCTAGGTTAAAATCACCAATTTCTCTCTCGCACTCTCGCACTCTCGCCCTCTGTCCTCTCGCACTCTCGCCCTTTGCCCTCTCGCCCTCTCGCCCTCTCGCCCTCTGCCCTGCCCCTTCTCCGCCCTCTCGCCTCATCGCCCTCTCGCCCTCTCGCCCCTCACTATTCGCCCATCTCGCCTCTCGCCCTCTCGCCCGCTTCGCCCTCTTGCGCCTCACTTTCGCCCTCTCTCCCTCTTGCCCTCCTCGCCTCCCTCGCCCCCCTCTAGACCCTCTCGCACTCCTCTTCGCCCTCCGCCCCCATCGCCCTCTCGCCTCTTCGCCATCTGCCTCTCCCCTCCTTCTCGCCCTCTCCGCCCTCTTCCCCCCTCCCCTCTCTCTCCTCCAATTCACTTCTCCACCAAAACACAACATAGGGCACGGTCCGCAAAGCCGCCGTTCAAACCCTTTTGCCGCAATCTGTCGTTCAATCCCCTTGCCGAAGCCGTTCCGTTCAAACCCACGCCGTCGGACCGCTGCCGTTCCACGGTGCTCGAGGAGAGGGATCTCCTCATCGCAAAGCCTTTCATCGTCACGGTAAAGGCCTTCTACACTCACAAAAATCATCTCCATTTCTTATATCCTTCAAAGTTTCCACCGAAGCATTCATAATCTAAAACCCTCCGTTAGGGTTTTCTTCTTCCTTTTCACCATTTCCCTTCGATTCCACCGCGATTTTAAACAGCTCTTGTTTTCACCACCTGTTAGAACTTTTCCACGATTTAAACCTTTGGATATTTTACACCGTCAATCGGTCCTGAAGTTTCCTTCCTAGGGTTCTGGTGATTAGAGTTTTCTTCTAAGTTCGTAGTGGGGTTTCGACATGAGGGGGGGGGCGGGGGGGGGGGTGGACCGGGGGGAAAGAGGGCTAAAGGGGGGTGTGGGAAGGGGGTGGCGAGATGTGTGGCGAGGCTTATTGTTTTTTGTTGGGTCGGGCGAAGGAACAAGGCTGTTGCAGAGGCACAATGCGGTGGACAGAGCCGACTGAGAGGCTTCGTCGGGCTGGTGGCGGGGCAAGGAGGTGGGAGGCCGCGGGCCTGCTGTGGTGTTTGAGTTTTGGGAGGAAAAAAATATTTTGGACCTCCTGACCATTGTGCCGGTGGGGGGAAGAATATTTCTTGTTCACCATGTGGAAGAGGAAGAAGTTGGGCTTCTCTGGCTTCTGTTATCATCTCTGGTTTTTTCTCTTTGCTGTAATCTTGCTTCGAGTATGTAATTTTGCTGCTTCTGTAGAGAGAATTTTGACATTGGACTATTATAATTTGTATCTTGTCAGATTGTTTGTTTCCCTGAGTATTAATATTGTTGTTTCATCTCTGAGTTTCTCTCCTGAGTTTCATCTCTGGCTTTCTGTTTCAATTTTAACGTTTTTGAGTTTGGGTTCTGGGTTTGAAATTAAAATAATTTAAGAACTCAAGCACGCAGAAAAAAAAATCCTACTACCTCGGTTTAGGTTCAACCGAGCCGTAGAGAAAAAAAAAAATAAATCCTACTACCTCGGTTTAGGTTCTAACTGAGGCCGTAGAGACAGACAAAATAACTCGGTTTGGAACCGAGACAAAAAGGCTACCACTTTTTACCTCGCTTGAATATGTCTCGGTTCAAAAACCGATGCCTATGAGTAAACTTAACCGGTATGGTGTCCTCTTCCTGTACTAGTGCATACAATATATTGAAATGGGTGTTGAGAAATAATTCTCACGTGCTTCCCATCCGTGAACGCATCAGGCATCATTCCACTATTTTCCCTCTAGCAACCATCATTCTACTATTTAGCAACCATCGAGTAACAATTAACTGTTTTATTTTGTGCCAAGTGGATGTAACTAAATATTGCATAAAATATACTAATTCAAATAAAACAGTAAACATTATTATTGAGGTTGTACTATGTGATGTCCGCAAACCAAAGCACTACTTACACAACTCGACAACTAATCTAGCATGAATCTATAGTTTATATATGTTTTACTGATTCAGTTCAATAGTTTTTCAGATGATTATCAAGTTACGAAGCTAATTTAACACGTCAAAGATAGAAAGAAAACGAAAGTTGATTTATCATATATCTAATTCTACAACCAATGAATTTCTCGCTAACCTAAGTGGTATACATTATTCATGATATATGTTTTCTAATATGAGTTCTACCTCTACTGTGTCAAACTTTGATTTACTCTTTTCTTATAGTCCCATCAATTTATTTATGAGAATTTGAAGTTATAAATGTTTATGATAAAAGTTCGGGAAACAATTGCTGCATGCAACCCCCATTCAACTTCACGTGTCTAACCTCCGCTTCCGCGTATACTATCATAATCACACTAGTGAACACTTATTTTCAAGACTTTTAAGTGCTACTATAAAAACTTCACACTCTAGAACCAAAAGGCAAATTATTCATTCCTGAACTCCCTCTTTTCCTTGTGTTTCCACTCTTATTACTTACCGAGTTATTGTCCAAAGTGCTAAGTTATACCAACTTGCTTACTACTAAAAAAGATGAACAATGAAGTTCATTCTTTACATGTATTCTTCATCCCTTTCCTTGCTTATGGCCATTTAATTCCCACCGTTGACATGGCCAAATTATTTGCTGAAAAGGGTGTGAAGGCCACTATCATCACCACACCCCTCAACGAACCTTTCATCATCAAAACCATAGGAAAACCCAAAACCAGCAGCACCATGATTCATGTCCAAACAATCGAGCTCCCATGTGCCGAGGCTGGTCTACCTAAAGGGTGTGAAAACACTAACTCCATCACTTCCGGGGCCTTATTTCCTGCATTCTTGAGGGCTTGTGGGTTACTTCAAGACCAGTTTGAGCAACTGTTGCTTGAGCAGCGTCCTAATTGTGTCGTTGCTGATGTTATGTTCCCATGGGCAATTAATTCAGCAGCCAAATTTGGAATTCCCAGCCTTGTGTACGACGGGACTAGCTTCTTCTCTATATGTGCTAACGAGTGCATGGGACTCTACGAGCCCTACAAGAATGTTTCTTCAGATTCTGAACCCTTTCTCATTCCCAACCTTCCCGGCGAGATTACAATGACAAGAATGCAGGTGTCACCTCATGTCCTCAGCGATGAAAGCCCAGGCGTGACAAAGTTGTTGGAGGAAGTAAGAGAATCAGAGTTGAAAAGCTATGGAATGGTTGTTAATAGCTTTTATGAGCTGGAGAAGGATTATGCAGATCACTTAAGGAAGGTTCTTGGAAGAAAAGCATGGCACATAGGCCCAATGTTTCTTTCCAACAGGGTTAAAGAAGAACAAGCACATAGAGGAGAAGAGCATGAGTGTCTACAATGGCTTGACACAAAGAAACCTAACTCAGTTGTTTATGTATGCTTTGGAACTACCACAAAGATGACAACTTCTCAACTTAAGGACATTGCTACGGGTCTTGAGGCTTCAGGGGAAAAATTCATTTGGGTG